GGTCCTGACCAGCTCCAGAGGGCTGATCACTGTCACAGCCCCCACTGCAACACACACACACATTGGAAGTCAAAAACACATTAACACATTACTGTTAGGATATCTCAGTGTGATTGTGGTTTAATGGACTTACATCTGGCCAGACCTCCAGCAACAAGAGGGATGTGGCTTCCCTGGAAACCCAGACCGTATCTCAGGAAGTCCCGCAGCTGGTCGTAGCAGGTGAAGTAGATGACAGTGGCAGGTACAGCCATGACCCTGCATATACACATGCATATAAACTAAGGACACCACTGTGCACTGTATGTGATATCAATGTTTTCATATTAAAAAATATCTACACTTTTTTCCCTAGAGGTGGACTAGAATAAACTCAGACTCAGAATAAAAGAGCTACAGTTCACTTACATCAGTGTTGTTATTAACCGAACACCCATATCTTTCTTACCCAAACCTGAATTTCAGTTCTTACACATGTATTCTAGTATTTCAAACATTTTATTCGTGACAGTTTAGACACTCACAGTGTTGGTGGTAGTCCACTCCACAGAGACCTGAGTCCTTCATGGCGAGTGATTTTCACAAAAGCATCCTATGGCACAAAGAACACAACCACACTTAAACACATTTCGAGTCTGCAAAACAGACTGTGACAGAAGCAAAGCAGCGGATGTACTCACCAGAGTCCCACTGAAATGTGTCTGTGTTTTGTACCAGCTGGTGCAACTGGTTCTACTCTGACACACATAGATGTGATCCATCAGTCCATTACAATACAGGAAACATTTCCCTGTGAGAGGCAGAACAACCCGTAGTCAGCAGAGTTAAAAATAACTGTGCGCCCCCAGCCTTTCAGCAATCACCAGATAATCACACAAAAAAACAAACAGAATCTAAGAACAACATCATAGACAAACAAGTACCTAATGTTAGTATGACAATCTGTTAAGTTTTCTAAGACATATTATATAATCCTTGACAGAGGAGAGACAGGTAATTAATAATACATGCAAAGGCAATGACCTCAGAGTCACTCAGGAGATAACAGCAGAGATATTGGATGAAGCGAGATACCCAACTCAGCTCACTTCCTGATTCAGTGACGTCAGCGCCATGCCCCCGTAGGAGACTTGCGGCAGCTGTGAATGTATTGTCGTCAATGAGGAAAATGAACGTGATCAAAATTTATGGTCAATTATTTCGCCCTGTAGACACTAAAGTAAATATTGGGTTCATTTTCCACAAGCCACACATCTTCCCAATATTCTGACACTAAGGCTGTATTTTTCATCCGCACAGATCAAGAGAAAGTTAACTTTGTTTGTGCCCTGTCCGTCTCAGAAAACAAGTTCTCGCAAGATCTCGTGATCTTGATAAACAGGGAGAACAGGCTCTGATTGGAGGGAGACCTAACCGCGCCCACTTAGGAGACAGGAAGAGGAACCGTTTTCTTAACATTGGATAAGCCTACAGTTGGGTATCTCCCTTCATCCAATATCTCTGATAACAGTTGACCTTGTCACTGTTTACTTTGCGTGTTTATTTAGAGCTGATTAAAGGAAACACTATTGACAAAAAACTCTAAATAGAAAAATTTCACAACCTACAGCACATTTGGGCCTGTGGAAATATCACAGGAAAACACGACATCTAATAGTGACAGGATCACAAGTGAGTAAAGAGAATCCTTCAGAGTCAAAGGTTGAATTGAAAGTAGTGAGCTGGGGAACGTGGTCAGTGTTTTGTGTTTCCTGAAGCTACCAAACTGTAGAATTTCCACAGCTCTCATGAAATGGTAGTTTGCAGCCAGGTACAAAACTGCAATCTCATAACTTTCATATATCAAGAAATAAATAAGACTGAAGACTGAGAAGTGGGAAAAAAAACATGCAAAACTAGGCTGATAACAAACACGTGAATCTATTTGCAAAAGGGCAACAGACGTTCGTTAGTTGAGCACATGCCCACACTCGCTCATGTTGGACTGGGCTGTGTTTTTTCAATTTGCAGCCAAGTTTTAGCATGCAGCGACAGTGGGTCAGATACTTACACTTGGAAGGGCGGATGACGCCACCCCACGGGGCTGATTCACAGGCTAAAGCTATGAGACAAGGCAAAAAAAGGCAGGACAGATAAAGCATACAGACATAGATTATGACAGCGCAAAAGACACAAAAGTATTGTGGGGTTAAAAAAGCATTTAGATACACAGGCCAACCGCAAGCAGCTGTTAAAATCAAAGTCAGTGTTTCATTACCTAAGTCAGTGTATGATCTAAAACCACAGAAGAAGAGGTCCTACCTTGGTGGAACGGTGTTTGCTGAGCCTGCAGCCTTATCTTCACAACGTCCAGTGGTGTGACTGCAAACACATGGATTGTCAGATTCAGTTATTACAATGCCATACAATCAGACTTTGGTGACCAATAAACCACTGCGTAAAACTCTGATGTAAAAAAAAAAGACAGTGAAAGACATAAAAGTTGCTTTTGCTAGTCTTTCTCACCAAAAATAGATGTGAGGAGGGCTCCAGTGCCAGAAGCCAGCATCTGCTGCACTGGAGAGATTGCAGCCACGGAGCCGCTGACGGCCCGCTCCCCCATCCTGCCCACCTGTCAGAACAACAATAGAAAACCACTTCAAACTGAGAACACAACGTTCTGTAACTAAACTTCACAGGGGTGTCTTCTAACCTTTTAAAGCCTTGCAGCCAGGTGTCTATGTCTCCTTATTATGTAAAACAACGAAAGAGCAGTGTAGGTGTCCTGCACAATCAGAAACTTAACACTGAGTTTGTTTCCTGTTACGTCAGAATGCTGATTGTGTGAGACCTGCTCCCGAGATGCTCCAACTTAGTGTTATGGCACTAAAAATAACATTAAAAAGGGTTATGACGGCTGCAATTTATATTGTTGTTCAAAAAAAGGCTACATTGCTGAAATGCACAGTTCAATTATCAAAATGTAATGAATTCAAACCACACGTCCTTTATTGATGGTCTCTGGGTAAGTCTAGGCGGAGTTGTTATAATGGGGTCGTTTAAACATTATGATAGCTTATCTTCTGTGTGCATGTCACCAGACAGCAAATAAGACCCACTCCCAACTGAGAGAGTGAGCAGCAGCGCATAAATAAAGCAGCCTAGATGTTTTGGATTGTGGAGGATTTCTGGACGAGTATCAGTCGTTTAAATGTTCCCCTTTCACTACATGTTTGGTTAGCATTTGTTCCCTCTGGGTTGTCCTATTTCTGGACTTAATTACACTTCAGTGTGACAGTTATAGCCACTTGGCCCTACAGGTCTGTCTGGCCAATAAGCTGCTTTGGGAAACAAGTCTTCAAAACAAACAAACAAACTTATAGTAGGTACCTAAATGCAATGGTGGAATGTAACTAGGTACATTTACTTATGAGCGGTATTCAAGTCTAAAATTAGAGGTAGATACTTGAAATTTACTTGAGTATTTCCAGATTATGCTGCTTTACTTTTCTACTCCACTACACTTCAGAGATTGTACTTTTTACTCCACTACATTTGTCTGACAGCTTTAGTTGCTTTTCAGATTACAATTTTATATCTCCTTTCCGTCTGGTGAAAATCATGCGTCTGCAGATGTGTTGATGTTGACGTTTGTAATAAACTGAATGTGTTGAGCAAATTCTTCTACTTCTTAAGCTTAATAAACTCTTTAAAAACCCCGCTTGGATCAGCTTGAAAATGCATCATCACACAGTGATGCTGCAAACATATGATTATCTTATAGAATATGATGCATTGCTGTAGTTTATATTACCCAACAATACATAAAAGAGTTCAAATTAGCACAACCTTGAACATCTACAGCAGTAAAATGCATCATACACATTAATGCAGCAGTAGTATTAATCCAAATACATCATATATAATAGTAAAGCACTGACTGGAAATGTTTTACTGCACAGCCAGTACTTTTACTTTAAATATTTTCAGTGCATTTGCTGATAACATATATTTACGTAAGTAAATCAGTGTGTTATTATTGCTTTTACTGAAGTTAAGGATCTCAACACTTTCACCACTGAGCAAATGTGTCCCAAGAGGATGTTTGATTTCTTCATGTCACCTTCCTTATACAACGTTGCAGAAGTAGTGGGAGAATCAACATGTCTCGATTTGTGCTGACAGGACACAAGTTCATAGAAAACATATTAACTAGTTTCAAATGTGATGAGTTTAACGTTTTACTGCACTCTGCAACTCTATCATGGTGGGTTGACAGTACTTCTAAGCAACCCAGTAATAGCACACTCTGTCCTTTTTGTCCACCATTACCGCACTACACAAACTAAATGATTATGTCTTCACCCACCCTTTAGGAGAGGAGGAAATGCTGAACTCAGTAAGCTAACCTTGTCTGAAGGGTTATTATCGTGTAGCTACTACGTTAGCTAACTGTCCGCATTTCGGTGACATATAGCCTGGTAGCTAGCTAGCTTTCCGGGCAACGCTATTGCGTTAACATAACAAGCTAATGTTACCCACCTCTACTTTAGCTGCCGGCGTCGTTGTGAAATAGGAGCGGCGCCTTCGCCCATTTCAGTCAAACGTTGCTACATTTAAGAGCTAACGTGAATGTAGGGTAACTCTGTCGGGTCCTCCATAGCTGATAACCCGTAAACATGTTTTTGGCGTCGGGTTATGAGCTAGCAGTGGGGGGAGCCTGTAAATGCAAGTCACACAATAATAGATTTCGCAACACTACGCTTAGCGATAGTCCTGTATGAGTGGTCAGACAGGCCGGTGCGCATGTTGTGGAGATCAGTGTAAAATGTCAGGGTTCATCTGGCCCCGCCCCTCGCCCTCTGCCGTTACAGCCGCTCTGCCGCCTCCTAGTGGACGGGTTGCTGTGGTGCGCCGCAGCTGTTGCTGTAAACCGGTTTTTTCTACAACTTGTTTAATGCAGCAAACGGCTCAGGAGGAGCAACTCTACAACTTTATCAGCCAAATTTAATTTAAAGAAATGCTGAGTTAATGTAAAGGACCAGGAGAGGCGCTGCAGGGTATTCAGGCAAAGTGGGAACCTATCTCTCTCTCTCTATCTCTCCTCCTTCTCCTCTCTGTCTGACTCTCTCTTATTTTAGAGGCGTGTTCAAGACAAAGCAGGTCTATCATCTGAGTCCTTTGGTGAGCAGACACTTCTGAAACACAGCTCCTCAGTCTTTGAGCAAGGTAAGAGCAAAATAAATGTCTTCTTCTTACAGCCTTTAGAATCTGACATAACACTTGCTAGCAAATGCGTCCTTTTAGACGAATTGTAAAGATGTTAAACAGTGATTAACACATTTACATTATTTATTTCTTTTAGTTTTACATTGCTTATCTTGTTTCTTTTTGTTGGGAATAAGAATCCCCGGTGTGTAAAACGTCTATAGTTCACTCTGATTTTCTTGTGCAAAGCGCCTTTCCTTCTTGTAATGCAAGCTAAACGAAAGTGAAAGAGGATAGATGTATGTTATGTTAACACATATTGTGTTTGACTTGCTTTTCATTGCACAATGAATAAAAATCAGGAACAAACCTTTAAGAGGAACTATTCTACTTTCAGGAAATAAAGGAAGACTGAGCAGAGTCTCAGATGTTATTTGCATTTTTGTTATTTTGTTCAGTGTATGACTCAGACCCAGTGATGTACAGAGTTACTTCCTGTTTTTCAACCTGAACCCTGTTGTCACATGTTTTTGTGTCTAATTGACTGATGGATGCAACACTCTTTGGAATATGTCCAGTAGGCTATTGAGCGAGTGGGCTGAAGCTGCCAGTGGAGAAACAGGCTTAAAGTAATATTAATGGGCTATTGTGCATCATCAGTTTACATCCACTGTAGTGCTTGTTTTGCCACTGACAGTCTCAGATAGTTATTAAAGGATAACTACAGAGATAGACCTTTGTGTTGAAGAGTAATATCCTTTATATTAACAAGAAACAGCCCTGTAATAACTATCACCAACATCACCAAACTCCATTCAATTTAATAATAATTTTATCATCCTAATACACCATCATTCAAAGTCACCAGAAACCAAATTAAAACTCTCAATAACCATCTTGGTTCATCCTTTAGCTGTTCCAACAACCAACTCTGGTTTGGTTGAAATAAACCTTTGATTTACTCAGATAGATGTGAAAATGTGCTTTGTCGATATACAGTCTAAAATGACTAATTATTTAAATGGAATCTGGTGAGTTTACCAATAATGATTTTGTGGCTGTTTCTCGTTAAACAAAAATGATCTTACTCTTTCACAACAAGAGCTGTCTCTGTAGGGATCCTTTCCATAATGTTGTCGGACACTTAAAAAAACAGTCTGAGCCTGTCTGTTGCAAAAACAATAACTTATGTTACCTGATATTGCACAAATGCCCTGTGTGGTTACGCTGCTGGCTGCAGCCCTCTCACGCAACACTAGACCAGTTTCAAAAGTTGGTTTTTCTATTAGTCACTTAGACACACAAATATGAGGAAAGGGTTCAGGTTGAAAAATACCTTTGTTTCCCTTTAAGGAATAGGTTTGAAATCACCGGATAGACAAGATATTTTTTTTTACAGACAGTCACAAGTTCATGGATATTTATGTATTTAAGTATCTGACCAAGCTTATTATACTTCCTGGTAGAGGTTGTGACCGAGAGTGTAAGCAGAAGTAAATGTATTTTCCGAGTAGAGAGGGGGATTCCACATGCACCCCTTTCACTTTCATTGATGGTCTGTGTGTGTGTGTGTGTGTGTGTGTGTGTGTATCTTCCCCTGTGTGCAGATGCAGAGGTGGGTCGTGATCTGTTGTGCTCTCCTGGCTCTGGTTGGTGCTGACGAGTGTCCAGATGGAGGAAGATGTAAAGACAGTCAGACCTGCTGCTACGACCCAGCCAATGGCTATGAATGCTGCCCATTTGCTCAGGTAGACAATAATAAGTAAAAAATAAAGGTATAAAATTAAGCTGTTTCTCATCTGCAGTTACTGCTCTCTGTTGTAGGGCAGATAAACCCCAGCAAAGTCATAGTGCATCAACTTGAGTAGAATACTTTGGCCCTTTTGTCCAGCACATAGTTACATGTAAATATGAGATAACCATTCTCTTGTACTGTAAAATAAAAAGGATGAAAGTTACAGAGGTACTATTCATGCTTCGTGGTGTTTTAGTACTTTATGTGCCAGATAAAAGCTGAGGCCTCATTCAGCTAATGTGATAGCAGTTTGAAACTTTGGTAGTCAAAGTGTACCTACTACTGCTGTCCTCATAGGCTGAGTGCTGTGGGGATCACATGCATTGCTGTCCTGCGGGAACAGTCTGCGATACAGCCACGTCCAGCTGTCTGAACTCTACTGGGTCCATCCCCTGGGTGGAAAGAGCCTCTGCTGATCAGCCCCGACACTCTAAAGTAATACTCATAGAAATCTGTTGCTTTTATGATAAAGTGTTGAGTGAGAGTTCAACTTATATAAGATGAATGCCCCCTTTCCCACCTTGTCCCTGCAGTCCTTCAGGATGATCAAGACACACATGGGGGAGGATGACGACAACATCTGTCCCGATTGGTCACGATGCCCACCTGAGTTTTCCTGTCTAAAGGCCTTGACAAGGTTTGGCTGCTGTCCCCTAGCTCAGGTAATCAAACCTTGTTCAGAGAATGATACATTCATCAAGAAAAAGGAGGAAACAACCACACCTACAAGTTCATTAAAGCGACAATGTAGTGAAAAAAAAAGTCCATTATTTAACCACTCCTACAGTAATACTAGTGGCATTATGTGTGATGTGCAAAAGTTTTTTTTTCCAAAAGCCCAGTTACTTCCTGTCACAAAGAGGATCTTTGCTGGTTTGGTTAACAAACTAAACTTTTTCACTTCACTTTTAACAGACAGTGATTTCTGCTATTGTGGGACATATTCATTTAAAAGCTGCAGCTCTGACCAGACTGGAGTTTGATGTGTTTTCCTGGAAAGTTATTTGCTGGATTGCGTCACAACAGACCAGTAAAGCTGACTATATGGCGCCTTTAGATGTCTAACTACTACACCTATTTGGAGTTGTACAATTAAGATTGAGGTCTTGTTGCTTTATAAAAAAAAACATTCATGAATTGTAAAGTAAAATGGCTGTAATAGAAAATCAATGAGCTATTTGATTCCAAGTTTTAGTTTGATTTTCTGACCCCTCACAGGGAGTCCCCTGCTCTGATGGGAAACACTGCTGTCCTGAGGGCCATCAGTGCAGCGCAGACAGCCGCTCCTGCATCGAAAAAGGTGAAACTCTTCATGATAATAATAATGGTAATTTTATAAATGTAGCATTGTATTTAAAGCAGAGTTTACAAAGGGCTTGTCAAACAAAGCAAAACAGAAGCACGATATCCCAGAAGCATCCTGGTACTTACTACCACAACAATATTAGACCATACAGTTTGGCGAACTGACCAGGACTTTCTGGCACAACCCTATACTGGTCCTGTCTGCAGGACAGGGAGCACTTTGTGTCAATGGGTAAATGGGTACATCTGAGTGAACAAAAATGACATGGAGTTCCCCAAGGCTCCAGCCTCGGGCCTCTTCCGTTCAGCTGTTTTGATTTGCCAGAATTAGCTTGTTGTTGAAATGTGCTGTGCAAATAAACTTGTACATTTTCTAAATTTGATATTCTTTTTATGTTGTGGCAGAGCTTGTGACCACAGTTCTGTGCAGTGACGGAATATCAGAGTGTCCAGATGAAACCACCTGCTGTGAAACCCCAGAGGGAAAGTGGGGATGCTGTCCCCTGCCAAAGGTACATCATGTCTGATATTGTAATTACAGACACACAAAAGGTGACAGCTGTGAAATGCAAATGTTACTCCATAGCATAATTGAGAATATGAATGAGGATAAAGTCAAATGATCTATTTGCATGTCTTGCCTGGATGTGCAGTTATAGTGACTTTATGGTGTCTTATCATTTATGGTTCTGAGGTGATACTCCATGTGTCTATGTCGTCTAAACAGGCTGTGTGCTGTGAGGATAAGACACACTGCTGTCCTGAAGACAGTACCTGTGATGTGGAACAGTCCAAATGTATTTCCTTATCTACCAAAAAACAAACACCAATGTGGGCCAAACTCCCTGCCAGGATAAGAGCAGACTGGGAGAACCAGAAAGGTCAGATCAGATGCGTGTTTCTGTTCCTGTGAAACTTACTTCCTCATTTTTTTAATCATTGTCTGATACTGTGTGTGTGTGTGTGTGTGTGTGTGTGTGTGGGTGGGTGTGTGTTCAATCTGTGTGTGCTTCCACTCTCAGAAGATGAAAAAGTCACTGCAGAGACTGCTGTTGATGGTGGCTCAGAAAAAACCCCAAAGGTCACTACAGTAAATGAAGTTCCTCCTTCACAGAAGGAAGTGTCTGTGTCATCCACCACAAAGGCAGCTGCAAGTGAGATGTTCATCGTGAATCAAAGTATATAGAAAAAGAATACACCTAAAATTGAAGTAGAGCATGACTGGATGCACAAGTTTTAGTCTACCGAGTAGTTTCTGATAATCAAATGTACAAAGTCAACAACAGACCTTTGTTATAGATAGTGGTGAAATATAATTTAATACTGTACAGCATTCTTCCTGTATGCAGTACTGTAGGTATGATAGTTTGACATCAGTAATCATATCGGTAATGAAGCATACAAGTATTTTGGTAAACAGATGCAAGAAGTTGAAGAAACATTTTTAAAGCATCAGCATGGCTGGTCAATCAATCAATCAATTTTATTTATAAAGCCCAATATCACAAATCACAATTTGCCTCACAGGGCTTTACAGCATACAACATCCCTCTAAGGAAAAACTCCCCAAAAAACACCTTTAACGGGGGAAAAAAAACGGTAGAAACCTCAGGAAGAGCAACTGAGGAGGGATCCCTCTTCCAGGATGGACAGACGTGCAATAGATGTCGTACAGAACAGATCAGCATAATAAATTAACAGTAATCCGCATGACACAATGAGACAGAGAGAGAGAGAGAGAGAGAGAGAGAGAGAGAGAGATTCAGGTAATAACAGTAGCTTACAACAACATTATTGAAAGTAATAATATTATAGTTATAGTTCTGGCTACTGTGGTACAATATGTTGAAAGTATGTATTAATATCTGGCAGCATACATGTGTGACAATAGTCATATGTGTATAATAACAGTAGAAGTATGACTAATGACTAATGATGGCAGCAGCAGCAGGAGGCATCTGGCAGGACCACGGCAGCAGCACAACCACACACGTCACGCTGTCCAGGCACCGCTGCGATATGAGTTAATCTGAGAGACAGTGGAGCACAAAGGCTCCGGAGAAGAAGCCGAGTTAGTGACATCCAGAATGGCTGAGTTAGCAAGATGCAGTAATAGAATACAAGAGAGAGAGAGAGAAGGAGAGAAGGTGCCCGGTGTATTATAGGGGGGTCCTCCGGCAGACTAGGCCTAAGTCAGCCTAACTAGGGGCTGGTACAGGGCAAGCCTGAGCCGGCCCTAACTATAAGCTTTATCAAAGAGGAAAGTCTTAAGTCTAGTCTTAAATGTGGAGACGGTGTCTGCCTCCGGGACCGTAACAGGAAGATGATTCCACAGGAGAGGAGCCTGATAGCTGAAGGCTCTGGCTCCTGATCTACTTTTGGAGACTTTAGGGACCACGAGTAACCCTGCGTTCTCAGAGCGCAGTGTTCTGGTGGAATAATATGGCACTATGAGCTCTCTAAGATATGATGGAGCTTGACCATTTAGAGCTGGTGTCCTGCTGAAAACACAAAAAAACATATTTTAAAAGATTGCATCTCTTCCTGTGTGAGTATGTTTCAGTAGTGGCCAGCTTAGTTAGATAAAGAGGTTGCATGTAAACAAACAAAAGTTATGTTTATATTCCAAGTTTCTCTCGTGTGTCTAACAAATTCATTAAGCATATTTCCATTTTCACAAAATGTTTCAATACATTTTAAATCCTGCTTGGTTTACATCCATGTTTGCTTGTTAGCAGTCTTCTTCACCCATGCCTTTGTTGGGGCCTTGCTGTGTTTCTTGCTGCATTAGAGAAATAGTTCACCCCAAAACAATATAAACTGTATGTAGTAATCACCTCAGTAGGCTCTCTGTGTTCCCAAAAAAGGTTTTCTATTGAATGCTGTAAAGGAGAATGCAATGCATGAAAAATTAAAGCATATCAGTGCAAACAAACTTTAACAGCAGCCGAATTAAAGACATTAAAAAAGGTTATAAAACACCTGAAAAAAAAAACGTTTTTAAGATGTGTTTGCAGCATTATCCATGTATCTTGTGGGCTCATGGAAATCCAAACACATGATGTGTTGCGCATGCGTATACAAATAGCACGTATAAAGAATAGCAAAAACCATTGTGTCCCCCAGCTGTCCATCAGAATAAAAGTGTAAAACCGAAAGCAGGATGTGAGTTGACTATGGATGTATAAGGAAACCTGGATAAAGCATTGAAGACGGGACCCCTTTCATTCTTATGCTCAGTGGTGCATGAGGCAAAAAAACTTTATTTCTATGTTATGAAATCCCCTGATGATCGGCGCTGCTTAGGCATCATTGAGCCCAAAGAGAAAGCGCACTAGAGACTTCCGCCGCCCAAGTCGGCTACGTCCTGTTTAGCGCTCTGCTAACTTGAATGGGAATGAAATGATTGCAGCTCTCCTTGACTTTCCAAATGTTATCAGATTGAATGGATGAAATCCTGATAGTGGAACGAGTCATTTTGCGGGGGTTGTGACGCTCACAAAAATGTATCCACTGATTTAAAGATGTCTCTCTCCCATTGTAAGTCTATAGTAAAAAGTCCTTTTGGGCTCAATGGCATCAAGTGACGGACTCAAGAGTTGTAATTCTGCTCTTTGGCCACCTCAAAAATTGGCTTCAAAGCCTGGCGCACCTCCTGGTGGCCTGAAATTGACACCCATAAAAACTCCATAGTGCTACCAGTGGTCAAAAATTCTACGGGGTACCTTTAAATTGAACATTGAATCGTTATTATAAAATTGCGATGGTTACTTCCATTCCTCTCCCCAGCAGTTCCTTCTCCTACAGCGCACATTTTGATTTATTAGGCCAAAAAATTAATTAGATAGAGCACATTGTCCAAACAATGTCTGCGGGCTGACAGTCAGAGATGGACAACAAATAGGAGATAAATTATCCACAGTATTGCCTAATGTAACCTGTGCTGTACTTTTTATGACCACAGTTATCATTACCGTATTTTAAAGGTCCATATGAATGTTTTCAAGGTGCAATAGTGGGGTTACAAAAACAAACTGTCAGGATAGGTCACCTTATTATACCACTGCTGCCCAAAGCAGTGTTCTTATCCTTCGAAATGTTTACTTTTTCTCAGCATGACAACAGATTTCAGATATAAAGGAAACCTTAATATTGGCATTTTTTTCAGGCAACGATGTCCCCTGCGATGATACAGTAGCCTGTGAAGATGGCACCACATGCTGTAAAACCAAAGAGGGTGGCTGGGCTTGCTGTCCTCTGCCAGAGGTACGATTTTGGCTGCCAGTTTTTACACAGTCCTAACTTTCATGTTAAGAGCTTTGCCAGTGTATTCATTGTTTATTGTCTCTCTGATCAGGCTGTTTGTTGTGAAGATATGCTTCACTGCTGCCCAAAAGGTAAGAAATGTAACCTGGTCGCCCAGACCTGCGATGACGACACATGCTCTGTGCCGTGGGTCCAGAAGGTACCCACAATCCCCAGACAGGACGCACAGGTGGGGAATGTTACGTGTGACTCCACCTACAGTTGTCCTGATGGATCCACCTGCTGCAAGACCACAACAGGAGAGTGGGCCTGCTGTCCTCTGCCTGAGGTAAACACACAGAGCCAAGATTTATATGCCGTTCGGACATGTAAAAAACTTACAAAGAACTCTACACAACTAAAATTACAGTATATTACCTCACAAGGTTGTGAATACCAAATGAGGTGGGTGTTCTTATGGACTCTTCTTGTGAACATGGTAAACACGACCCCATTTGAAGGCAGCAAGAGACTGGAAACTGGCGGTTGTACAGATGAGTACAAACAAAGAACATAATGTGTTGATTAAAGAGCTTTAGAGATGCTGTTAGGGAGATTTTGTTACCCTTGGACCAACCTGATCTCACAGAAATACGTGAAATGACCACGACCTCTTAACACCGCATTCCGTGGTGGCAGCACGTAATGGGTTGAAATTACGTGCTGCCACCACGAAAACAATGCCAATGTAAAGTCAATTAGGGTCCTCTCCCGTGGTGGACACACAGATTCCCTGATTCAATCACGTCACGTCAACCTCGTTTTCCTCAATGATATCTTTAACATTCCTGTATACACACAAAAACGCAGAAGTGTCCTTGATAACTCAACAATATGACAGGTTAATGTCAAGGCCATAAAATAAAATAAATGTATTTTGCCAGCTTTTGATAGCGTAGGGCTTTAAGAGCATTGTGCTGTGGGCGGATGGGGCGCGCTCCACTACTGTTTTGTAGCTGCTGTCCGCCGTCTGTGGGCTTCATTCCATTTCAGATTGCCATCCGTCTGCCGTAACTGAATCCAAACGCCAGTAATAAATAAATAAATAAGAAGATAAAAATAAGGCTGAGCACGGATAAACCATAGAGGAAACACCATCACATGGAGCCGTCTGCCCCTGGCAACCCGGCCACCCTCCACTCCACCAGGGGAGAGTGGACCCCAAGCCAGCGCCACAGAACGGCTGCCCCGCTGGTTATACGTCCGACCGTGGCAGCTGTCACACAAACCGCTGCTGAAAATTATACATTTTGATACAGGTAGGCTATATACATATTGCAAAACTCTGTAAAAGTACACCAAAGCATATTTTCGTTTCCAAATATTTATTTGAAAACAAAACCATTCATACGGTCAATATAAAACATTTTGTTAGTAATAAAAAACAAATGTAATCTCAATGTGAGCCAGCCGGCGGGATTGTGGCTGAACCACTTCCAATGTTCATTCATTCATTCATTCATTCATTCATTCAATCGTGTGTTCAATGTGTGTGTGTGTGTGTCAGAGAGGAGTACCAACAATATTATAGACCAAATGTTAATCTAATTATTATTGTAGAATGTATTTAGTAAATCACCACTCTCAACTGGAGACAGCAGCAAAAAAAAAAAAAAAAAAAAAAAAAGAAAAGAAAAAAAAAAAAAAAAAAAAAAAAAAGGCATTATAAAAAGCCGACAAATCGTGTTAATTAATTGACGTGAGACATTGAAGAGGTTGTCTCCTATAGTCTGTAATTTTTAATTTTTTTTATCATAACTTCTCGGAAATTACTCAAAAGTAGAACATGCTAAAAGTAAATACAATAATAGGCTAAATAGTATCTAAGCAATAATAAAGTGTCTAAACAATAATAAATATTATCTAAGTTATCTATTAGGCTACCATTCCACTCTGTAAATAGATTTTAACATTTCAATATGATTTTAATATTATTTTTGCTTACTCATTATTGTTATTATTGGTTTTACTTTTTAGTAGTATTGTATTGTCTGAGGATGACTCATTTTAGTAACTATCTACAGTAAAAAGATAAAAACAAGCAAAGAAACAAACAAAACTCATTTTATACACGGGGCCTTCAAAGTGCTCTCTGAAACTACATCTGGCATGGCTTGTGTCCAAAAAATTAAAAAATCTAAACTTTGTCGTAGAGCTAAACCAAATACATCATTGGAAAGGTCTCAACCTGGAGAGTAACATATGTCAGTATGAAGATTCTACATGGCTCCTGCTTTCAGCCATTGACCTTTGAACCTTGACCTCAGTGCATGTTTGAGGGCTTATAACTCAGCAACGAAAGGGGGTACAGACATGGGACCAACTGTTATAGAGAGCTCTTGACCTCAGCTATCATGTGAGTGTAGTCATCAACTGTGGGTGCTGTCAGATATGGTTAAAATATGGATAAAATTAATTTTCACCCATTTAGAAATTAGATATTTAAAATCTGATTTCACAAATGTGTTTACCATCCCCTTAAAGTCCACAGTGTACTCTCAATTCAGTATTTACAACTTCCAAATCTGGGAAAAACACTTAGATTTTTAAAAAACTACAATTCCCTGGGACCGCGCCATGCAGTTTGATACATATCAGCAACATAGTTGTAGTTCTTCTGATTTGCAAAGTAGGGCTCTAAATAGGGTTGTAAAAAGATATATCTACTGAATATATCTAATATCAAGTAAAGCCGAACTAGTTATTACACTCCACCTAGATGAACTATGGTAAGAAAAAGTAAAGATGTCCGCTAATTTTCGATATTTTAGCTAATACACTAGAAACGGCGTTTTTGGGACAGTAGGTTCGTTTGCGGCATGTAAAATAGGGTTGTAAAAAGTTAGATCTACTGAATAAATCTAATATCTAGTAAAGCCAAAGTAGTTATTACACTGCACCTAGATGGACTATGTTAAGAAAAAAAGCAAGGATATTGGCTAATCGTAGTTATTTTAGATAGTACTCTAAAAACGGTGTTTTTGGGACGGTAGGTTTTTTGCGGCTTGTTGTAAAACAGGGTCGTAAAAAGATACATCTACTGAGTATATCAAATGTCTAGTAAAGCTGAACTAGTTATGACACTGCACCTAGATGAAATATGTTAAGAAAAAGTAGGCATGATGGTTCATTTCAGATATTTTAGCAAGTTCTCTAGAAACGGCGTTTTTGTGATTGAATATTTGAATAGGCTATAACAAATATCTAGAACAGCCGAACTATTACGTTATTATCATTATTATTATTATTGGTGGGAAATTATAACAGGGGAATGTATTTGCCGTTTTAATATCAAGAACACTTCCGCGTTTTTGTGTGTATACAGGAATGTTAAAGATATCATTGAGGAAAACGAGGTTGACGTGACGTGATTGAATCAGGGAATCCGTGTGTCCACCACGGGAGAGGACCCTAATTGACTTTACATTGGCATTGTTTTCGTGGTGGCAGCACGTAATTTCAACCCATTACGTGCTGCCACCACGGAATGCGGTGTTAAGAGGTCGTGGTCATTTCACGTATTTCTGTGAGATCAGGTTGCCTTGGACACAGCCAGGCTAGCTAAGCTAACCAGCTGCTAGCTGTAGCCAAATATTTACAGTACAGACATTAATGTGGTATCAATCTTCTCATCCAACTCTCAGCAAGGAAACAAATAAGCACTGAAAGTAATGTAGTGTATTTGACCACTTTTCACACTCTCACTGGTTTAGTCTGCACTTGAACTTTGCCTACACTGACAGACCTCTCTCCTCATGCAAATTCATACATCCAACAATTTTTGTCACTGAAAGTATTCTTGTCACTTTGTTCAAAGGCGGTCTGTTGTGAAGACCACGAGCACTGCTGCCCTACTGGCACCACCTGTGACCTGGCAGAACAAACCTGTAATGGCGCCTCAGGTTCAACGCCCATGAAGCAGAAGATACCTGCTTTTGCTACGGCAGCACCCACTACAGTGGCCCCCATGAACCAAGATCAGGCAACAAGCTCAAAGCAAGACGAGAAGAAGGAGCCTGAGACAGAGGAGGTGACAAAAGCAGAGAACAATGATGACGACGATGATGAGGAGAATAAAGAGGTGGGGAGCATTCAGTGTGACCCCCACACCAGCTGCCCTCAGTCTGCTACTTGCTGCTTCATGACCTCATCTCAAAAGTGGGGCTGTTGCCCACTGCCACGGGTGAGCATTGACCTCAATTAAAACACCTATCCTGTTTAAAGCTGCAGTATAAAGAATTTTAACACCTCATAGCATAACATGATTATGACTAATTACTATTTTTGCCATAGATTATGGTAACACTTTACTTTAACCCCTTTAAACATTTAATAAATGGTTTATTACACTATAATGCAGCTATAAGGACGTATGTCAGACGTATTTTATATTATTACACCTGTTTTTCACTATATTGTCCTTCATTATTTATTTAAACACCAGCACCCACTGATAGGTGCCTATAAGAGAAAAAATTGTTGACAGCTACGTTACTCAAAACTTATATCAGCTTCTAACTACAAAATATTGTACAATAAAACATGAACTCAATGAATATACACTGCTTATAAATGCTAAACAGGATGTGTTAAAGGAAAGCATTACGTTTTTATGCCACTGTGCCAGAAAGCTGTGGCCGATGGCGTTATGTTTTCGGGTTGTCCGTTCAGTTTTCGTGAACAAGGGTATCTCAAGAACAACTTGAAGGAATTCCCTCAGATTTGGCACAAATATCCACTTGGACTTCACAATAAACGGATTTGTTTTGTGGTGGTCAAAGGTCAAGTTCACTGTGACCTCATCTGTTGCATTCTCGTGAACACAGTATCTCAAGAACGCCATGAGGGAATTCTTTAAAACTTGGCACAAACATCCACTTGAACTGAACGGTGAACTGATCAGATTTTGGTGGTCAAAGGTCAAGGTCACTGTGACCTTGCATCAGTTTTATTGTGATGAATGCGATATCTCAAAAAGGTCTTGAGAGACCTTCTTTAAATTTGGCACAAACGGTTACTCGGACGTAAGAATAAACTGATTAGAATTTGATGGTCAGTGGTCAAAGGTCAAGGTAAGTGTGACCTCAAAAATGTTTTTGGCCATGACTCAAGAATTCATAAGCTAATGCTAACAAAATTTTACTAAAATGTCTAAGATGAAAAAAATTATAAAGTGATTACATTTTATATCCAAAACATTAAAGGTCACCTTCACTGTGACATCATAATATTCTGCAAAAACACTGTCTGCCCATTACACAACATCATATCTCAGGACCAAAAGGGGAGACATTTGATCAGATACTGAATTGGTGACTCTAATCTTGGGTGCCCACTTTGAAACTGTACTGATTGTATAGATCTTCTGTGCTATATAAATACAGACACAGACACACACACACACACACACACACACACACACACACACACACAAAAACACATATGAATCTAATTTTTAATGCCTTCATACCATCTTGAAATATCACCAGGGTATATGTTTTATGATGGTCTCACCAACTTGGTTGAAATAAATGCTTAATTAACTGACTTTGATGTAAAAACAATATGCCATTTTCCCAGCAGCCTCTCTTTCTGCAGTTGCTGGCCAGCTCATACATTTAAAGCTCTACAGAGCTTTATAGCATCTATCAGCTCATTGTTTTGGATTTCCAGCACACACCCTACTGTTTTGGTTCACTCTCATATAATCAGCAGTTGCAAGCAGCTGAGTTGATTATTTCAGCACTTTCACAGTTAGAAGTTACATATTCAATAGTGAACATTTGCTTGTAGAATATCACCCATGTTTGTCACCATTTTATGTTTAATCATTTAAAAGAAGAACTGTAAAACAGGATGGATGATGTGAAAGTAGCACTCCCACTCTCACTTCTCCTTAGGCTGTGTGCTGCGCTGATGGGAACCACTGCTGTCCCAACCAGTACAAGTGCGATGAGAGCCAAACCTCGTGCATCAAAGGGGAAGTGGTGATCCCCTGGTACACTAAGCTTCCAGCCACCATCAGCAACGAGGCTGACCCCAGCTCTGTGCAGTGCGAAGAGCAGACCCAGTGTCCTGAACACACCACCTGCTGCCAGCTGCCGACAGGCGACTGGGGCTGCTGCCCGCTGCCAAATGTGAGCACTGAAGAGATTGCTGTATAAGACACAGTATCAGTATATGTGCGTTGTAAAAGTTTGCTTATGTAAAACGAGGGATGCCATTTCCACAACCCTTGTGTGTTTTGTCTGCAGGCTGTGTGCTGCCCAGATAAGGAGCACTGCTGCCCACAGGGTTACACCTGTAACATGGCCTCAAACTCTTGCCAGAAGGTCATCATGCTGCAGCTGGAGACTGTGCCACTAATACCAGTGTATCAACTCGAGCATCAACCCCCGCCCAATCCCTCAGAGCACAAAGACGTCCAGTGTGATGAACAGACCAGCTGTCCAGATGGAAACACCTGCTGCAGGACCTCCACTACTACATGGGGCTGCTGTCCATTGCCTAATGTATGATATACAGTCATAACCTTAACCTTTAAAGGAATACTTCAACATTTTGGTATATGTTCTTATTTATTTCCTTGACTGGAGTTAGATGAGAAGATTGATGCTACTCTCATGTCTGTATGGTAAATATGAAGGTATTGCAGGCAGCTGGTTAGCTTAGCTTAGCACAAATACTGAAAACAGGGAAACAGCTAGCCTGGCTACAACATTAAAATGCTGCTTATATGGTGTATAATAATACAACACTCTGAGAGCAGCTATATTGAGTACTTGTACTTTTGATACCTTGTCAGATTTGCTGCTAATAATTATTTACATTTGTACTTCTGTCTGTTATGTACTTGTATAGGAATATTTTTATACTGTACTATTGCAACTTGATGAAGTTGATGGTGTTAGCGGTAATACCTTCCTTTCACTGTCCTCTCCACAGGCGGTGTGCTGCAGCGACATGTTGCACTGCTGTCCAGCTGGCTACACCTGCACCGACACTGGAGACTGCGAGCAGGGCACCAGGCCCCACTGGCAGGACTGGCACGTGTTCCTTGGGAACAAAAAGAGAGCTCTACTTTTGTGAAAACGTCTCCCCTGCACTGTCATTTGTTTATGCATGCATTGCACTAATGAAAATGGATATCAAAGGGATTTTGTGATAATTTTTAAATGCTTTGTTGTTAGTAAAAGGTGAAGGGGCACTGTGAAATTGAATTGCACTTCTCTTCTATGACCTTGGAGATACCACAACCACTATATGCAACTAGATCAGGGCATTAAAGAGATCGTACAGGTTTTTTGAATTGAGGTTGTATGGGTTGCCTATCCATAGACAGTATATTACATACAGTAGTTGTCAGTCAGCATGCCCCCAGTTTAGAAAAGCAGGCAGGAGTCCAGCATGGAAGCTAAGCAACACACGTTGGTGGAAAAGGTCACCTAAAGAAAGCCCCACCTAAAAAGACCAATATCAGTTTAGGTGTACGTTATATTGAGAGTATTTTCACTACTTTACCTTAATGTCAGACAGTGATTTCCAACAGGAAAATGAAGCCGTTATATCACTCTCTTTAAAGCCAGACTCCATTGAGAAAAACAGTCATTTTAGTATGCTAACCAGAGGAGCTGTTGGTCTACTGCTGCCTCAATCAGTTACTTTGTTGGTGTGATTGGTGCCTTTGGTGAATCCAAATTAACCCTTTTAAATGCTGAAGTCACACCATAACACTTACGAACTAACAGATTGAGGCAACTGTCTGATTTTAGGTAATGCAGTGAAAATTTTCTCAATATAGCATACACTTAAACTAAAACTGATTTTTTGCTTTTAGGTGGATCTTCTTTTAGAAGGCTTAAATACATATCATTGCTGACTTCTCCATATTGCTTAGCTTCCATGTCTACTCCAGCCTGCTTCCCGGAACTAAGGTCATGCCGACTGACATCTACTGTTTATAATAAACTGTCTATGAATAAGTACCCCATACAACCCCACTTAAAAAAACTTAACCATCCCTTTAAGTTTTTAATAACTCATTTTAAATTCAATTTGATTTGATTTCACTGTATTGTCAGAAAACAATTCTGAAGTTTGTCTTAAAATCAGATAGATCCTTATTGTTCCAAGTACACAGTTAACATGCTACTTGAAAGTTTAAACTAAATAAAAGCTTTAAAACCCCTCTTGCATCAGTTGGAAAATGCATTGTCACAAAGCTTAAACAGGGCTATTTATTCTGACACCATGAAAAGTTCACTAAAGATACGTGGTTCTTAAAGACAGCTACGCTACAAACATATGATGATCTTATAGAATATGATGCATTGCTGTGGATTAAACTACCCAACAGTATATAAAGGAGTTCAAATGAGTACAACCTTAAACATCTACAGCAGTAAAATGGAGATTATACATTAATGCAGCAGTAATATTAATGAAAAACCATCATATGTAATAGTAAAACACTGATAGGGAACATTTTACTGCACAATGAGCACTTTTACTTTTCATATCTTAAGTGCACTTTTCTGATAACGTACTTTGAATGAAGTGAGGCTTTGAATGCAGGACTTCTACTAGTAGTTCAATATTCCTTGTTTGGGATTAGGATCTCAATACTTCTTCCACCATTGAGCAAATGTGTCCCAAAACAAGAGGATATTTGGGGTCCTCCTGTCACCTGTCACATTCATTACACAAAGTAAGGCTTTGAATGCAGGACTTTTACTGGTGGTGGAGTATTTTCGCTGTGTGGTATTAGTATTTTAACTTGTGTAAAGGATCTGAATACTGACACTTCTTTCACCACAAAGCAAAACTGCCCTAAAATAAGAGTCTTTCTGTCACCCTCATCTTCATTACACAACATTGCAGGAGGTAGAGGGAGGTTCATCAAGACACAAGTTCATTTAAAAAAAAAAAAAAACACACAAACACATTTGCTGACAACTGACAATAAATTGAGAAATAAAGTGTATTAATATTTTAGTTACGTTACAGTTAATTTACATACTGTGTGAAACAAAAATGCATACTTTTCTGTAAAAAAGCACAAAATGTAGCTTTTATCCCAAGCACAAGCCATATTCGTGCTGAAAGGGTTATTTCCATCCTTTGATTCTAGTAGCATTTATTTTTCAATAATTTTAAGTAAGTATGATTTGAATTTTGTTTAATAGGAGGAAATATTGGCACATCCAATCACAGTTGAACAGAAGAGGCCTGAGACTGGAGCCTTGGGGAGCTCCACGTCACACCACATTTTTGTTCACTCAGCTCTATAATTACAAAGTAGTCCCTGTCCTGAAGACACAACCAGTTTAGGGCTATGCCAGAAAGTCTCAGACAATTTTCCAGACAGTTTACTTTGTTTGCACTGTCAACATGTTTTTTTCAGTAGTAAGTACAAGGATGCTTCTAGGATATCCTGCTCCTGCTTTGCTTTGTTTGTCAAAGTACTTTGTAACACTTTTTTTTACAGGTGCTTTATGAATAAAATTATCATTATTATTAAGAGTTTTGCATTTTTTGATGCATCAGCTGCTGTCTGTGTTGCACTGGTGGACCTATGGAAGCAGTGTTTCCCATCCGAGCAGGGGGACTCCCTGTTTCTGTAAGCTAAATAAACTCTTTAAAAGCCCGCTTGGATGAGATGGAAAATGCATCGACAAGAGAGACATGGTTCTTACAGGAGAGTGATGCTACAAACATAGGATGATCTTATAGAATATGGTGCATTGCTGTAGATTTAACTACCCAACAGTATATAAAGGAGTTCAAATTAGCACAACCTTAAACATCTACAGCCTAAAAATGCAATATATACATTAATTCAGACATAACATTATTCCAAAGCCATCATACATAATAGTAAAGCACTGACAGGGAATATTTTTCTGCACAATGAGTACTTTTGCTTTTCATTCTGAACGTGCATTTTACTGATAATATACTTTTACTTATCCTAGTTCTGTTTTTAAAAGGGGCTACATTAATAAAATGATGATTATTATTATCATTATTATCATTATTATTATTATTGGGCAGAAAACTGGGGCCCCCCTCTGGAGCCAGACCTGGGTTGAGGCTGACCAGCAAGAGTCTGGTGGCCGGGCCTTAGGTCATTGGACCCGGTTGGGCTCAACTTGAAGGAATTACATGAAGGCACTGCCATGCAACCCACCATCCACAGGGACAGGCGTCAAGGTCAGGTGCATTGTGTGGCAGGCAGCGCGCAGGGGCGAGGACCCAGGTGTGTTGACCCTTGGCATCGCAGACTGACTTTAGGGACATGGAACCTTATCTCTATAGATAGAGTTTGGCTCACCTCTACACATAGCACTGGTTCTGAAACCAAACTCCTGGAGAGGGGCTGAGCTCTCACCTTTTCTGGAGTTGCTAGAAGGTGAAAGGCGCCAGGCGGGTGTGGGATATTCACGTGCCCCTGGCTGAGTGCCGCTGTGTTGGAGTTCTCCCCGAGGAATGAGAGGGTTGCTATGATGTGACTTTGAATGGCTGAGTAGGGGTCTCTGACTGTTGTTTGTGCTTATACACCAAACAGCAGTTATGAGTACCCGGCCTTTTCTTGGAGTCTCTAGGGGTGTCCTTGAAAGGGTGCCAGCCGGACTCAGTAGTTCTTTTGGGGTACACTCACGTGGGCAATGATGGAGAAACGTGAAGGGGGATGAGTGGATGGAAACGGCCTGCCTGATCTGAACCTGAGTGGTGTTATATTATTGGACTTCTTTGCTAGTCATGGATGGGCCCCAACGAACACCATGTTGAGCATAGGGTGATTCATAAGTATACTTGGTACCAGAACACTTTAGGCCAAAGATCAATGACTGGCTTTGTGGTCGTTTCATCAGATCTGCAGTTGTCTGTCTTGGACACTCAGGTAAAGAGAGAAGCAGAGCTGATCACCATCTGGTGGTGAGTTGGATCAGATGGCAGGGGAGGCTGCCAGACAGACCTGGTAAACCCAAGCATGTAGTGAGGGTGAACTGGGAAAGTCTGGCCAAGGCCCCTGTCCGCAAGGTCTTCAACTCCCCAGTTTTCGTGTATCCTATGGGAGGTTGGGGACATGGAATCCGAGTAGGCCATGTTCAAAGCTCCCATTGTGGAGGTGGCTGCTAAAAGTTGTAGTCAGAAGGTCGTTAGTGCCTGATGTGGCAGAAACCAATAAACCCTGCTGGAGTCCACCAGGCCATCAGGCCGAAGAAGGAGGCCTTTCAGGCTTGGTTGGGCCAGGGGTCTCCTGAAGTAGCATACAGGTACCAGTTGGCCCTAAGGGCTGCAGCTGTGGTGGTCCACCAAGCAAAAACTCAGGTATGGGAGGAGTTTGGGAGGCACTGAGGAAGGGGTCAGTTGAGGTGATTCAGCATCTGATCAGGATGTCTCCTGGTCGCCTTCTGTGAGAGGTTTTCCAGGAACGTCTGACTGGTAGGAGGCCCCGGGGCAGACCCAGAATGTGCTGGAGGGATTATATATCTCATGTGGCCTGGAAACCCCTGTGGATCCCCCAGAAGGAGCGGGAAAGTGTTGCTGTGGAGAGGAACATCTGGAATATTTTGCTCAGCCAGCTGTGGTAATTATGTTAATATAACTCACCTCTACTTTAGCTGCCAGCGTCATTGTGAAATAGGGTGTGGTCTTCACCCATTTCAGTTAAAAGTTACATTGCAGCATTAGAGAGCTAATGGCACATTTCTCTGCAGGATTTTCCATTGAGGATACATGGTGAACATGTTTTTTGGGCTAATCTCACAGCGGAGTAGATTAGTGGTAAAATGTCAAAGTTCATCTGACCCCGCCCCTTGTCCTTTTCTGTTAGCAAAGGGCGAGGAGCGGGGTCCCTTTGATTGTTATGGTGCTTTGATCCTTTTGTTAGCAAAGGGCGAAGCCCCCCCCCCCAGGCTTGTATTTAAGACAAAGCAGGTTTATCATTTGTGTTATTTGGTGGTGAGACACTTCAGAAACATCTGACTGCTTACATCAGCCCTTCAAGGTAAGAGAAAAATAAACCTCTTTTTTTATTTAGCTTTTAGAATCTGATATAATATCTGCTTGGCAAAGAAGTCCTTTTAGATGAATTGTAAAGATATAAGGAATAGGTTTGAAATCACCAGACAGACAGGATTATTTTCAACTGACAGTCACAAGTTCATGGGTATCTATAAATATCTGAGCAAGCTTATTATACTTCAAGGGTAGAGGTTGTGACCGATAGTATAAGCAGAAGTGAATGCGAACATGTATTTTCTGATTAGAGTGGAGGATTCCACATGCACACCTTTCACTTTCATTGATGACATCTGTGTGTGTATCTTCCCCTGTTTGCAGATGCAGAGGTGGTTCGTGATCTGTTGTGCTCTCCTGGCTCTGGTTGGTGCTGACGAGTGTCCAGATGGAGGAAGATGTAAAGACAGTCAGACCTGCTGCTACGACCCAGCCAATGGCTATGAATGCTGCCCATTTGCTCAGGTAGACAATAATAAGTAAAAAATAAAGGTATAAAATTAAGCTGTTTCTCATCTGCAGTTACTGCTCTCTGTTGTAGGGCAGATAAACCCCAGCAAAGTCATAGTGCATCAACTTGAGTAGAATACTTTGGCCCTTTTGTCCAGCACATAGTTACATGTAAATATGAGATACCCATTCTCTCTCTCGTGGTGTTTAGTACCTTATGGGCCAGATAAAAGCTGAAGCATCATTTAGCTAATGCGATAGCAGTTTGAAACTTTGGTAGTCAAAGTGTACCTACTACTGCTGTCCTCATAGGCTGAGTGCTGTGGGGATCACATGCATTGCTGTCCTGCGGGAACAGTCTGCGATACAGCCACGTCCAGCTGTCTGAACTCTACTGGGTCCATCCCCTGGGTGGAAAGAGCCTCTGCTGATCAGCCCCGACACTCTAAAGTAATACTCATAGAAATCTGTTGCTTTTATGATAAAGTGTTGAGTGAGAGTTCAACTTATATAAGATGAATGCCCCCTTTCCCACCTTGTCCCTGCAGTCCTTCAGGATGATCAAGACACACATGGGGGAGGATGACGACAACATCTGTCCCGATTGGTCACGATGCCCACCTGAGTTTTCCTGTCTAAAGTCCTTGACAAGGTTTGGCTGCTGTCCCCTAGCTCAGGTAATCAAACCTTGTTCAGAGAATGATACATTCATCAAGAAAAAGGAGGAAACAACCACACCTACAAGTTCATTAAAGCGACAATGTAGTGAAAAAAAAAGTCCATTATTTAACCACTCCTACAGTAATACTAGTGGCATTATGTGTGATGTGCAAAAGTTTTTTTTTCCAAAAGCCCAGTTACTTCCTGTCACAAAGAGGATCTTTGCTGGTTTGGTTAACAAACTAAACTTTTTCACTTCACTTTTAACAGACAGTGATTTCTGCTATTGTGGGACATATTCATTTAAAAGCTGCAGCTCTGACCAGACTGGAGTTTGATGTGTTTTCCTGGAAAGTTATTTGCTGGATTGCGTCACAACAGACCAGTAAAGCTGACTATATGGCGCCTTTAGATGTCTAACTACTACACCTATTTGGAGTTGTACAATTAAGATTGAGGTCTTGTTGCTTTATAAAAAAAAACATTCATGAATTGTAAAGTAAAATGGCTGTAATAGAAAATCAATGAGCTATTTGATTCCAAGTTTTAGTTTGATTTTCTGACCCCTCACAGGGAGTCCCCTGCTCTGATGGGAAACACTGCTGTCCTGAGGGCCATCAGTGCAGCGCAGACAGCCGCTCCTGCATCGAAAAAGGTGAAACTCTTCATGATAATAATAATGGTAATTTTATAAATGTAGCATTGTATTTAAAGCAGAGTTTACAAAGGGCTTGTCAAACAAAGCAAAACAGAAGCACGATATCCCAGAAGCATCCTGGTACTTACTACCACAACAATATTAGACCATACAGTTTGGCGAACTGACCAGGACTTTCTGGCACAACCCTATACTGGTCCTGTCTGCAGGACAGGGAGCACTTTGTGTCAATGGGTAAATGGGTACATCTGAGTGAACAAAAATGACATGGAGTTCCCCAAGGCTCCGGTCTTGGGCCTCTTCTGTTCAACTCTGATCGATTGTGCCAAAATTTCCTCATGTAAAACAAGGATAAGACAGAAATAATTAAAGTAATACGTTTTTTGGACCCAAAGTAACAATTTAACGTCAATGCTCACCTTCACCAAGTTAAAGACCACATAACAAACCAGAAATTTTGGTGTAATTATGGACTGAAATTTTGGCATCCATTTTGAGAGAAATACAAAATTGGCCTACCATCACCATAAGAATATTTATGTCTCAGAAGGGCTTTGAAACAGTTGTCAGTTTCTGTGCACCTTATATCTGGAACAATCTCATGGCTCTTTTACATCAAGGTGTAACATTTTTCTAGTTGTCACTGCTTTCTTATTGAATGAAATATGGAACTATTTACTCATACTTTGCACTGTAGCTGTGCTATAACTTTGACTCTCCTGTTTTATCTGTTTAACTAAATACTAGCTCATTGTTTTGCTTATTTTTATGCTGTCTTGCGTTTCTTGTATCTTCGTTTCTGTGCATTTTTGTGTCTTTTCACTTTGAATTGGCTTAGCTTTGAATTGTTGCCTAACTTTTCAAAGGGGTTCACTTTTATCTCACTGTATTATAGACACAGTTTTACATTTGATGTTCCTGTTATTTTTTGGCAGAGCTTGTGACCAGCGTTATCTGTGGCGACGGAGTTACAGAGTGTCCATCTGGAAACACCTGCTGTAAAAGTGCATCAGGACCATGGGGATGCTGTCCTCAGCCACAGGTACAAAATAACTGATTTCATGAGCTGTTTATATCACCATAGGGAAAAAAGATAATAACACGCACATCCCAAATATTGAGAGGGTGCTGGATCATAAACTTCTAAGATGCATCAAACAAGGAAAATGATCCGCACACCGATAGAGCTCCCATTAATCCATTTATTTTCTGTCAAGTACTTGACAGAAAATAAATGGATTAATGGGAGCTCTATCGGTATATCACCATAGGGAACAGATAATTCAGCTCACAGTAAATACATTAATAAACACTTATATCTGCTTATAACTAAATTAAAGTGTGAACAGTTGATAAACCAGGTAATCATTGATTATATACTGCTTATAAATGCTGATTATGGAGGGTTAAACTCAGTGGTACCTTAATTATTTTTCAGCAAATCAAGTAATTGGTCAGTCTATGAAAAGTCATAAAGTAACAACAAATAATTCTTAGTGACCCAAACACAGGGTGTCATCTTACAACTGGTCAGAGGAACTGAGTCTATGAAGACATGAGGTAGAGGAAAGCAGCAAATATGAACACTGGAAAAGCTGAAACCTTCAAATGTATGGCATTTTTGTTTCCAAACTCACTTAAAGCAACTATAATCTATGTATTTGTATGAACATTTGATCAAATGACTATGTGTGATGTGAAAAGAGTGGCCTCTAGTGAACCCAGAGAGAATTATCACTGGACTCTGCAGTTCCCCTCAGCTCTACAGCACTTTATAGCATCTTTCAGCTCATTGCTTTGGTTTTCAGACACACAACTTAACTGTTGTGGTTCACTCTCACTGTTCTCATAGCTTTATTATCAGCAGCAGCGGGCAGCTCAATTGATTGTTTCAGCACAATCACATACAACTGGAAAACAGGATGAACAGCTCTCACACTCTCGCTTCTCTCCAGGCTGTGTGCTGCACTGATGGGATCCACTGCTGTCCATCCAACTACAAGTGTGAGGGGACCACCTGCACCAGAGGGGACGTGGTGATCCCTGCGTACACCAAGCTTCCAGCCACCACCAGCATCAAGGCTGATACCAGCTTGTTGGTGAAAGGTGCCATACAAAAACATCTTGCCTAACTCTCATAAGAGGTTTGTTTTTATGTCGAGGCCCTTACCTACAGTATATAACATTTTTAAATGTGGTGTTATGTTGTGGCAGAGCTTGAGACCAACGTTATCTGTGGCGATGGAGTTACAGAGTGTCCATCTGGAAACACCTGCTGTAAAAGTGCATCAGGATCATGGGGATGCTGTCCTCTGCCACAGGTACAAAATAACTGATTTCATGAGCTGTTTATATCACCATAGGGAACAGATAATTCAACTCACAGTAAATACATTAATAAACACTTACATCTGCTTATAACTAAATTAAAGTGTGAACAGTTGATAAACCAGGTAATCATTGATTATATACTGCTTATAAATGCTGAATATGGAGGGTTAAACTCAGTGGTACCTTAATTATTTTTCAGCAAATCAAGTAATTGGTCAGTCTATGAAAAGTCATAAAGTAACAACAAATAATTCTTAGTGACCCAAACACAGGGTGTCATCTTACAACTGGTCAGAGGAACTGAGTCTATGAAGACATGAGGTAGAGGAAAGCAGCAAATATGAACACTGGAAAAGCTGAAACCTTCAAATGTATGGCATTTTTGTTTCCAAACTCACTTAAAGCAACTATAATCTATGTATTTGTATGAACATTTGATCAAATGACTATGTGTGATGTGAAAAGAGTGGCCTCTAGTGAACCCAGAGAGAATTATCACTGGACTCTGCAGTTCCCCTCAGCTCTACAGCACTTTATAGCATCTTTCAGCTCATTGCTTTGGTTTTCAGACACACAACTTAACTGTTGTGGTTCACTCTCACTGTTCTCATAGCTTTATTATCAGCAGCAGCGGGCAGCTCAATTGATTGTTTCAGCACAATCACATACAACTGGAAAACAGGATGAACAGCTCTCACACTCTCGCTTCTCTCCAGGCTGTGTGCTGCACTGATGGGATCCACTGCTGTCCATCCAACTACAAGTGTGAGGGGACCACCTGCACCAGAGGGGACGTGGTGATCCCTGCGTACACCAAGCTTCCAGCCACCACCAGCATCAAGGCTGATACCAGCTTGTTGGTGAAAGGTGCCATACAAAAACATCTTGCCTAACTCTCATAAGAGGTTTGTTTTTATGTCGAGGCCCTTACCTACAGTATATAACATTTTTAAATGTGGTGTTATGTTGTGGCAGAGCTTGAGACCAACGTTATCTGTGGCGATGGAGTTACAGAGTGTCCATCTGGAAACACCTGCTGTAAAAGTGCATCAGGATCATGGGGATGCTGTCCTCTGCCACAGGTACAAAATAACTGATTTCATGAGCTGTTTATATCACCATAGGGAACAGATAATTCAACTCACAGTAAATACATTAATAAACACTTACATCTGCTTATAACTAAATTAAAGTGTGAACAGTTGATAAACCAGGTAATCATTGATTATATACTGCTTATAAATGCTGAATATGGAGGGTTAAACTCAGTGGTACCTTAATTATTTTTCAGCAAATCAAGTAATTGGTCAGTCTATGAAAAGTCATAAAGTAACAACAAATAATTCTTAGTGACCCAAACACAGGGTGTCATCTTACAACTGGTCAGAGGAACTGAGTCTATGAAGACATGAGGTAGAGGAAAGCAGCAAATATGAACACTGGAAAAGCTGAAACCTTCAAATGTATGGCATTTTTGTTTCCAAACTCACTTAAAGCAACTATAATCTATGTATTTGTATGAACATTTGATCAAATGACTATGTGTGATGTGAAAAGAGTGGCCTCTAGTGAACCCAGAGAGAATTATCACTGGACTCTGCAGTTCCCCTCAGCTCTACAGCACTTTATAGCATCTTTCAGCTCATTGCTTTGGTTTTCAGACACACAACTTAACTGTTGTGGTTCACTCTCACTGTTCTCATAGCTTTATTATCAGCAGCAGCGGGCAGCTGAATTGATTGTTTCAGCACAATCACATACAACTGGAAAACAGGATGAACAGCTCTCACACTCTCGCTTCTCTCCAGGCTGTGTGCTGCACTGATGGGATCCACTGCTGTCCATCCAACTACAAGTGTGAGGGGACCACCTGCACCAGAGGGGACGTGGTGATCCCTGCGTACACCAAGCTTCCAGCCACCACCAGCATCAAGGCTGATCTCAGCTTGTTGGTGAAAGGTGCCGTACAAAAACATCTTGCCTAACTCTCATAAGAGGTTTGTTTTTATGTCGAGGTCCTTACCTATATAACATTTTTAAATGTGATGTTCCTGTTATGTTGTGGCAGAGCTTGTGACCAACATTATCTGTGGCGACGGAATTACAGAGTGTCCATCTGGAAACACCTGCTGTGAAAATGGATCAGGAGTATGGGGATGCTGTCCTCTGCCACAGGTACAAAATGTCTGATTTTTAAATTACAGACACACACAAGGTGACAGTTTTGACATGCTAATGTTACTCCATAGCACAGTTCAGATTATGAATGAGGAAAAAGTCAAATGATGGATTTGCATGTCCTGCCAGTATTGCTACTTTTTATTTAATTACAGTTGATGTTAGCAGTAATACCTTGCTGCCTCTGTCCTCTCCACAGGCGGTGTGCTGCAGCAACATGTTGCACTGCTGTCCCTATGGCTACACCTGCACAGACACTGGACACTGCATTCGGGAGAGCAGGCTCCACTGGCAGAACTGGCAGTTGACCCGTGCCAACAAAAAGAGAGCTCCACTTTTGTGAAAACATCTCCCCCCTGCATGTGTCATGTGTTTCTGCGTGCAATGTATTAATGGAAAATAATGTCAGAGGGATTTAATGATATTGATACTTTGATTTTTATTCTTAGTGAAAGGATGAAGGGTATCTGTGAAACTGAATTGCACCTGGGGTTACGGTATTCTGTGATCTTGGAGAGGCAACACCAAGTATATGCAATTAAACCAAGGCATTAATTTTTTAGTAACTCATTTTAAATTTCATTTAATTTGATTTCACTTTATTGTCAGATGAAAACAAGCCTGAAATTTGTCTTAAGGTCAGATAGATCCTTGTATTCCAAGCACACAGTTGCAAGCTATTTGAAACTCCATCCAATAAAAACACTCTACAGGCAATATTCACAGTCAATCGTCTTTTTCTGTATGTTCAGTAGCCATGTGCTGCAAAGTGCAGAGTGCACCATAATTTGGGAACCATACATCGTATAAATATGGGTAACATGGGTCTTAGTCCACTTAATAAATAGCATACACATGAAACTACATTTTACTGTATTTTTTAAAATGTTTACATGCTTTGTGATTACACAAACAACAATAAATCATTACGTGGAATTTTATGCAGCTTAATGAAAGGTTCTTCTAACTTTGGTCATTTTTGGTGCATCATTATTATTATTATTGTTATTTTTTTTTATTATTATTATTTCTTCATTATAACAAAATCCTAAACTTTGGAGTTGACCAAGGAACAAAAACATTTCCCTGAAATAAATAATGCCCTTGTTATTTATTACATCATTGATCTTTTTTTATTATTAGGATTTAAGCCTCGTAGGGGCAGAACCCTATTGTGTTTGTGCCAGTTCAGAATAATAATAATAATACTAATAATCATTATAATAATAATAATAATAATAATAATAATAATAATGAGAAGAAGAAGAAGAAGGAGAAGAAGAAGAAGACAAAGAAGAAGAAGAAGAATTGTTATTGTTTTTGTCTGCTGTCATGTCTCAAATTCTCACACTATAAATCAGATTGACTAGAAATATGGCACACTAGCTAGCTCAATATGCTCAACAGAAAGCCTCTTAGAGGATAAAAGTCCATCACGCTAATTTACATACAGCGAAAAACATGTAACATCTACATCTACCTTTCAGATTTTGACTCAATCAACACCAGTAATTTTGTACATATTTTTACACACCACTGTTGGACTGAGACACACAAATTGGCTGTAACTCATTAACGCTGTGTCCAATAATCATATATCTTAATAGATATGTTTTGTACATCCAAAAGCATTTTGAGCTCGACCTATGAGAGGCATCACAAATACCAAAAACGTGTACCTCAATAAAAGGTGGACAAATTTCACAAAATTTGGTACACATGCTCTGGAGGCGAGCATTAAGATCTGAAGTGTATTGGTGCATGTGGGCATGGCCTGTTTAGTATGCATGCAGTGTGTTCTACAGAAAAGCCTCTTGGACAATAAAGGCTATAATGTGAGAAACACCTATGTTTGGTTTTTGACTGTATCAGTACTAAATTTGGTATACAGCATTGCAGGATGGACCGCCCCCCCGGTGCTGCCTCGTTTGAAAACGCCGCACTGCACTAACGTGCCCTCTTGAGTGACGAAAATGAGAAGATGTGCCCTATCAGCTGCCCTCTTGAATGATGAAAACGAGAGGATGTGCCCTTTTGCTGCCGTCTTGAGTGATCAAAACTAGACAATGTGCCCTATTGGATGAAAACAAGCGGATGTGCCCTTTTGGCTGCCCTCTTGTCCCCATGTCATGCAGTAGGTGCCCTTTTTTCCTTTTCACCCCTGCCCTTCAAACATCCTGAGTCCATCACTGCAGGGAAGACACCCTGGTCTAAGTCCTGAACATACACAAAGTTTCATTCACATCCTTGAGCAGAATGGTTGGTCTTTGTGTGTGCAATTACTGAAATGCTGCATACATTGATTGGTCTTAATCCTTTGGACAAAATTAAACAACTTGAAGTGACTTTGGTCAAGTTTGTAAAGTCTGAAACCATTTTGCTGCTGCTTGATCACTTGAGCTGATTTTGGCAACTGAGCTACTTTCTCCTGACCCCACTTACAGCTATTATTATTATTATTATTATTATTATTATTATTATTATCATTATTAATAAATAAAACAACCCTCCACAATTTAAATGCAAATCTAAAATTGCTGTCTGTGTCAGGCCGTTGTTTGCCATGCAATTTCTACTTTTGTATTTAGGCTAAGTGTTCTTAACTAAATAATTGTTTTGATTATAGTCAGTGTTGGTCTCGTTACTCTAAAAATGTAATTCATTACTCATTTCTCTTTTCAAAAGAAATATCATTACTTATTTCTCCCTGCCAACAGTAATTCGTTACACCGCTCGTTATCTTAATTTTCCATCACACCCCACAAATTTGGTAATTGCATACTGTGATTGTTGTATTTTGAGTTAATGGTGGTGTGATAAAAGTAACGTTGTAACAAGTTATTTGATGATATTTGAATTTCAGTAATATCATTACTGAAATTTTACAACTATATTACAGAATCGTTACAGGAAAAAGTGATAGATAGCCTATACTGCCCAACACTGATTATTGTTCTGTAACTTACTTTCGCTTCACTAACATTTCGCATTTATTATTTACTTGTACTTTTTAATAATAATAATAATTACAATTATAGTGACGATAATGATAATAATTATAATAATAATTATAATGATAATACAATTTCAGTGATTTTTCAACTTCTTCAAAGTGTCAATTTTTGATTTGAACGTTTGAGTCACTGTTATGACTTTTATTTTGAAGCCAGACGTGCAACACTTCCGGTATTCTCCAGTATGCTTGACGTATCTCCCTTTGACGTATGAATCATCCTTCCCAAGATGGCGATACACCTGTTTCTCCGGTGCTGATCCTTGTTGTTGTCTGCGCAACACCAGAAAACAGAGCGTCAAGAACAGACTGTTACTAAACTGGAGACGTAGTTAAACAGCTGGAGTAAACTCCGTCACCCAGAATGTCCACAGAGGAGCTGTCAGCCTCGGATAGCGAGGCTGTCCTCGCCGGCGCAGGGGAGCGGTGGGCACCGGTAGGCGCTGTGGCCAGCCCCGAGGATGAGAGCAGGAGCGGGAGCGCTGGCCAACGGAAACAGAGAGGCTCGTCCTCGGCCACCGAGGAGGACATGGCCGCTAGGCTGGAGAAACTGAAAGAGGAGCAGGAGCTGCTGAACTCCTCCCTCCTCGCCCTCACCTCACACTTTGCCCAGGTTCAGTTTCGACTGAAGCAGATAGTTCACGCCCAGACCGAGGAGAAGGAGAGGATGCTGGCCGAGCTGGAGGAGTTCGCCTTCAGGGGCTGCCCGCATGTGGTGGGCTGCCGGGCTCAGGATGCCAAGCAGCTGGAGAACTCGGTGAGGCTTCTGCTCATGGTTTGATACCACAACATAGAACCACCATGATGTTACACACTCTGTCACACACTCTGAGTGCATGCTATGAAAAGGTGACAGGTGTCAAAACAAGCCATTGAAAAAACAGAATATCCCTTGTAATAGTTACTCCTATCTTAGATATTCCCATTACATAAAGGCCTATAGAGTATTTAGGACTGTAGTGAGGGATTTCTATCCATGACCACAGGTGTTTTAGTCTCTACAAAGAAGCTGTAAAGTGTGTGTGTGTGTGTGAGAGAGAGAGGGAGAGAGAGAGAGAGAGCGTGTGTGACCGTTAAGCTGAAATTATTATTGTGAATTGATTAGTTCCCTGACAGAAAAATACTCAACAACTGTTCTGATAATCTATAAATTGATGATGTTTTTGAGGCAAACGTGCATAATATTCCCTACTTTCAACAGTCTGACATGACCGATAACTGCATATTTTTGGGATTTAAACTTTTAGTTGGACAGAACATTTGCAATGTTTAAACCAGTAATAATCAATAAATAATAAATAATAAAAAGGATTCGCAGAGATATTCAACACTCAAACACGCACTTATCCACAACTGGACACAGAGATGGACACTCTGTACTAATATAAATGCATATAGACACACAGGCACAGCGAATCTCTGTGGTGTTAAGCCTGGTCACATAAACTGAAGTTATTCACCTCAGTGGCTGTGAGGTTCCTGATTAAAACAGATTAAAGCATGCGTGTTGCGTCACACTCGAGGCTGCTGCGCCCACCTCTAACGTGTTCCCATTGATCTCTTATCTCTGTTGGAAAATGTTGCTTTTGTGTTGACTCACACGACACTGCCGACAAAATGAAAATGCCTCCAGCAGATGACTATCTGTTTAATAAAGGTCTCTGTGTACACAACAGCGTTGAAGCAACCTGCTTTTTCCCTACCATTGTTTACTCCCTGCCTCTTTACATTTAGTCTTAACTGAAGCGAACCCTGGGCCTCATGTTATAATTGTTTGGAGTTATTGCTCACCATATTCCTCAACCTAAAGGTTTTTTTATGTCATTTCTCCCCTGTTACATGCTTTACTTGCAGGGGGATCTGGTGAGTATGATACCCAATGTTTCTTTGAGAGTTTGGTTTGTGTATTTTTGTGCAAATGTGAGACATGTAAGACTAATATGAGAAACTGCAGCACAAATCCCACCTGTGCCAGGTTATATCATAATTGGTATCACTAGCAGAACTTCCACGCTGCTAAAGATCTAGTGAACTAGTTCAGTGTGTTATTGTCGCCACTCAACTCTCTGTCTGTAAAAATTCTAATAATTGTGTGTGTGTCTCTCCTGTCAGAGTGAGAGGGAGAAGAGGGAACGCCTGGAGGCTCAGCGGGAAAAACAGAAGGATCTCATTTTCCAACTGAAGACACAGCTGGATGATCTGGAGCGCTTCGCCTATCAGGAGGGCAGCTACGACTCGCTGCCGCAGTCTGTCGTCATGGAGAGACAGAAGGTGGGATTGTGGAAATGTACTGATTAAATACTCACCACTGGAGCTGGGCTCAGTCCTGTCACATGGTGATGTGTCGTATTGGCAGTGGTGGAAGAAGTGCTCAGATCTTTTACTTGAGTAAAAATAGTCATACCACAGAGTAAACATACTCTGGAAGTAAAAGTCCTGCATTCAAAATACTTACTTAAGTAAAAGTATTACTGGATTATAATCATTGATGCATTAATATGTTTATCACTTTAATGTTGCAGCTGGTAAACTTGGAGCTCATTTCAACTACTTTACTGCGGGTATCTCAATCTATAACGATATATCATAATTAGTAGTTGATTTATAGTTTATGTTAATACTCTACATCTGTAACTTAAATCATAGCTAATGTCAAATAAATGTGGTGGATAAAAAAATGCAATATTGGCTTTCAAAATGTAGTGGAGTAGA